ATAGTCTAGTCTATAGTCTAGTCTATAGTCTAGTCTATAGTCTAGTCTATAGTCTAGTCTATAGTCTAGTCTATAGTCTAGTCTATAGTCTAGTCTATAGTCTAGTCTATAGTCTAGTCTATAGTCTAGTCTATAGTCTAGTCTATAGTCTAGTCTATAGTCTAGTCTATAGTCTAGTCTATAGTCTAGTCTATAGTCTAGTCTATAGTCTAGTCTATAGTCTAGTCTATAGTCTAGTCTATAGTCTAGTCTATAGTCTAGTCTATAGTCTAGTCTATAGTCTAGTCTATAGTCTAGTCTATAGTCTAGTCTATAGTCTAGTCTATAGTCTAGTCTATAGTCTAGTCTATAGTCTAGTCTATAGTCTAGTCTATAGTCTAGTCTATAGTCTATAGTCTATAGTCTAGTCTATAGTCTAGTCTATAGTCTAGTCTATAGTCTAGTCTATAGTCTAGTCTATAGTCTAGTCTATAGTCTAGTCTATAGTCTAGTCTATAGTCTAGTCTATAGTCGTCTATAGTCTAGTCTATAGTCTAGTCTATAGTCTAGTCTATAGTCTAGTCTATAGTCTAGTCTATAGTCTAGTCTATAGTCTAGTCTATAGTCTAGTCTATAGTCTAGTCTATAGTCTAGTCTATAGTCTAGTCTATAGTCTAGTCTATAGTCTAGTCTATAGTCTAGTCTATAGTCTAGTCTATAGTCTAGTTTATAGTCTAGTCTATAGTCTAATCTATAGTCTAGTCTATAGTCTAGTCCTATAGTCGAGTCTATAGTAGAGTCTATAGTCGAGGTCTATAGTCTAGTCTATATAGTGTATAGTCTATCCTATAGTCTAGTCTATAGTCTAGTCTATAGTCTATCCTATAGTCTAGTCTATAGTCTAGTCTATAGTCTAGTCTATAGTCTAGTCTATAGTCTAGTCTATAGTCTAGTCTATAGTTTAGTCTATAGTCTAGTCTATAGTCTATAATAATATATAGTTTAGTCTAAAGTCTAGTCTATAGTCTAGTCTATAGTCTAGTCTATAGTCTAGAATATAGTCTAGTCTATAGTCTAGTCTATAGTCTAGTCTATAGTCTAGTCTATAGTCTAGTCTACAGTCTAGTCTAGTCTAGTCTATAGACTAGTCTATAGTCTAGTCTACAGTCTAGTCTATAGTCTAGTCTACAGTCTAGTCTATAGTCTAGTCTATAGTCTAGTCTATAGTCTAGTCTATAGTCTAGACTATAGTCTAGACTATAGTCTAGTCTATAGTCTAGTCTATAGTCTAGTCTATAGTCTAGTCTATAGTCTAGTCTATAGTCTAGTCTATAGTCTAGTCTATAGTCTAGTCTATAGTCTAGTCTATAGTCTAGTCTATAGTCTAGTCTATAGTCTAGTCTATAGTCTAGTCTATAGTCTAGTCTATAGTCTAGTCTATGTCTAGTCTGTAGTCTAGTCTATAGTCTAGTCTATAGTCTAGTCTATAGTCTAGTCTATAGTCTAGTCTATAGTCTAGTCTATAGTCTAGTCTATAGTCTAGTCTATAGTCTAGTCTATAGTCTAGTCTATAGTCTAGTCTATAGTCTAGTCTATAGTCTAGTCTATAGTCTAGTCTATAGTCTAGTCTATAGTCTAGTCTATAGTCTAGTCTATAGTCTAGTCTATAGTCTAGTCTATAGTCTAGTCTATAGTCTAGTCTATAGTCTAGTCTATAGTCTAGTCTATAGTCTAGTCTATAGTCTAGTCTATAGTCTAGTCTATAGTCTAGACTATAGTCTAGACTATAGTCTAGTCTATAGTCTAGTCTATATTCTAGTCTATAGTCTAGTCTATAGTCTATAGTCTAGTCTATAGTCTAGTCTATAGTCTAGTCTATAGTCTAGTCTATAGTCTAGTCTATAGTCTAGTCTATAGTCTAGTCTATAGTCTAGTCTATAGTCTATAGCCTAGTCTATAGTCTAGTCTATAGTCTAGTCTATAGTCTAGTCTATAGTCTAGTCTAGTCTATAGTCTAGTCTATAGTCTAGTCTAGTCTATTCTAGTCTAGTCTATAGTCTAGTCTAGTCTATAGTCTAGTCTATAGTCTAGTCTATAGTCTAGTCTATAGTCTAGTCTATAGTCTAGTCTATAGTCTAGTCTATAGTCTAGTCTATAGTCTAGTCTATAGTCTAGTCTATAGTCTAGTCTATAGTCTAGTCTATAGTCTAGTCTATAGTCTAGTCTATAGTCTAGTCTATAGTCTAGTCTATAGTCTAGTCTATAGTCTAGTCTATAGTCTAGTCTATAGTCTAGTCTATAGTCTAGTCTATAGTCTAGTCTATAGTCTAGTCTATAGTCTAGTCTATAGTCTAGTCTATAGTCTAGTCTATAGTCTAGTCTATAGTCTAGTCTATAGTCTAGTCTATAGTCTAGTCTATAGTCTAGTCTATAGTCTAGTCTATAGTCTAGTCTATAGCCTAGTCTATAGTCTAGTCTATAGTCTAGTCTATAGTCTAGTCTATAGTCTAGTCTAGTCTATAGTCTAGTCTATAGTCTAGTCTATTCTAGTCTAGTCTATAGTCTAGTCTAGTCTATAGTCTAGTCTATAGTCTAGTCTATAGTCTAGTCTATAGTCTAGTCTATAGTCTATTCTATAGTCTAGTCTATAGTCTAGTCTATAGTCTAGTCTATAGTCTAGTCTATAGTCTAGTCTATAGTCTAGTCTATAGTCTAGTCTATAGTCTAGTCTATAGTCTAGTCTATAGTTAGTCTAGTCTAGTCTATAGTCTAGTCTATAGTCTAGTCTATATAGTCTAGTCTATAGTCTAGTCTATAGTCTATAGTCTAGTAGTCTAGTCTATAGTCTAGTCTAGTCTAGTCTAGTCTAGTCTATAGTCTAGTCTATAGTCTAGTCTATAGTCTAGTCTATAGTCTAGTCTATAGTCTAGTCTATAGTCTAGTCTAGTCTATTCTAGTCTAGTCTAGTCTATCTAGTCTAGTTAGTCTAGTCTATAGTCTAGTCTATAGTCTAGTCTATAGTCTAGTCTATAGTCTAGTCTATAGTCTAGTCTATAGTCTAGTCTATAGTCTAGTCTATAGTCTAGTCTATAGTCTAGTCTATAGTCTAGTCTATAGTCTAGTCTATAGTCTAGTCTATAGTCTAGTCTATAGTCTAGTCTATAGTCTAGTCTATAGTCTAGTCTATAGTCTAGTCTATAGTCTAGTCTATAGTCTATAGTCTACAGTCTATAGTATATAGTCTATAGTATATAGTCTAGTCTATAGTCTAGTTTATAGTCTAGTCTACAGTCTAGTCTATAGTCTATGGTCTAGTATATATTCTAGTCTATTCTATAGTCTAGTCTATAGTCTAGTCTGTAGTCTAGTCTATAATCTAGTCTATAGTCTAGTCTATAGTCTAGTCTTTAGTATAGTCTATAGTCTCATATTTTAAAATATTTATAATTTTTTAATAATATAATAATAATTTTTATTTTTTTTTATTTAATTTTTTAATATTTTTCAAGTTAACTCCCTTTTAGTACTGTTAATTACATTTTCTCTACAAAAAACTACAAAAAAATACAACTCTACTCCAAATACCAATTGTCAATAGCGGATTTGACACTTGTCACAAGACAATTGTCAGCTGACCCTGTACATTTTAGAGATTTTCTTTCGTACGCAGCCAAATTTTTTGCGTGTAAAAGAAAAAAAGGAACTTTTTCAAGCAAAAAAGAAAATTTTTAAAGGAAATTTCTAAAAAACAACTTAAAGAAAATGTCGGGCAAGGATAGATTACCAATTTTCCCCTCCAGAGGGTAAGTTTTTTGTGGGCAAAAGAAAATTTCCCAATAAAGTGTTAGTGATGGAAAAAAACATGATTTTTTTTTTTTGTTAATTTATCTATGATGCAGTGCTCAAATGTTAATGAAGGGTCGTCTGGCTGGTGCCCAAAAAGGTCATGGTTTGCTCAAGAAGAAAGCTGATGCCTTGCAAATGCGTTTCCGTATGATTTTGGGTAAAATTATTGAGGTAAGTTAAGGTTTTTCATGGAATTTTTGTGTGTGTATTGCTTAAGAATTGTTGGAAGGGGGTGGGGGAAGCTTACTATTGTTGTTGTATTATGGGTCCCATGATTAATGTTTTTCTTATTGTTTTTAGACCAAAACTCTTATGGGCGAAATTATGAAAGAGGCTGCCTTTTCCTTGGCTGAAGCTAAATTCACAACTGGCGATTTCAATCAAGTTGTTTTGCAAAATGTCACCAAGGCTCAAATTAAGATTCGCACCAAGAAAGATAACGTAGCTGGTGTTACCCTGCCTGTGTTCGAATCGTATCAGGATGGTTCTGATACCTATGAATTGGCCGGTTTGGCTCGTGGTGGTCAACAATTGGCTAAATTGAAGAAGAATTACCAAAGTGCCGTCAAGCTCTTGGTAGAATTGGCTTCTTTGCAGACTTCCTTTGTTACCTTAGATGAGGTCATTAAGATTACCAACAGAAGAGTCAACGCCATTGAACACGGTAAGTCTGAAATGGTAAAATACAGTGAAGGAAGACTAGGTTTTGTAGATTTTGAATAAACATTGGATTGTTATGGTCCCTTCTTGGAAGCAAAATAATATTTTCTTTAAAATATTTCAAGTTTTCTTTACATTTGTATAACAAAATATAGATTTTTTATTTTGTTTTTAAATTTTTATTGATTTTCCTCATTTCCCTTTCAAATTTCAGTTATCATTCCCCGTATTGATCGTACTTTGGCTTACATTATCTCCGAATTGGATGAATTGGAACGTGAGGAATTCTATCGTCTAAAGAAAATCCAAGATAAGAAACGTGAAGCTCGTCAAAAGTCCGAAGCCAAGAAGGCTGAACTTTTGAAACAAGGCATTGATGTACGTGAGGTTTCCAACATTTTGGATGAGGGTGATGATGATGTTCTTTTCTAAAAACATTAAAAATAACAAAAACCTTATAATAAAGACGTTCTTAGTCTTATATTAGCAACAACAACAATAATAACATTAATTGAAAAAGTTTGTTTTGTTTTTCTTAAAAAATTTTTGTTTTTTTTCTTTTCTATTTGTTTATTTTTTTGAAAGTTTTTCTTAAAAGACACTTTAAAACAGTATTTATTTGAAATTTTTTAATATTTTTATCAATTCGCTTTATTTTTCCAAACAAATTCCATTAACTAAGTAAAAAAAAATTATTGTAATATAACTTTATTTAAAAAAATAAACGAATAAACAACTGCTATGTGTTATAAAAATATATATTCTTCAGCCCATGTTTGTTATAATTTTAAGGCTTTACTATAAATTAATAAAATAAATAAATGTTAATTCAAAATAATTATAAAAAAACACAAAATTTGAATTTTCTTAAGAATGTAGAACAAAATTGAATAGAATTTTCCTGTTATATATAAAACTTCTTAACATTTTAATGAAAAATAACTTAAAAACTAATTCAGCTAGGTTTAAATTTAATTCAGCTAAAGTTTTTTATATAAAAAGTTATTAAACAAAATATTTATAATAATTTCTTTAATATTTTTCTAATTCAGCTGTTAAAAATCTCAACTCAGCTGAACAAATGTAGGAAATTTTTAATATTTTGTAACTTTCTTAAGTAAAATATCAATTCAGCTGAGTTTAAATGCTATTCAGCTTAGAGTTTATAATAAATTTATAATTTTCTTTGGAAAATGTCATATTTTGTTATTATCTAGCAATTCAGCTGTAGAATTTTTATACTCAGCTAAGAGATTTTCTTGTAATATAAAAAATCCATGAACATTTTGGTAAAATTTAGCTTTAAAACAAATTCAGCTAAGTTTAAACATAATTCAGCTAAAGTTTTTTATACGAAAAGTTATGGAATTAGGATATTTATAAAAATTTCTTCAATATTTTACAAATTCAGCTGTTAAAAATACAATTCAGCTGAATAAATTATAGGAAATTTTTAATAGTTTTCTTATTTTATAAAACCAAAAACCAATTCAGCTGATTAATAATATAATTTAGCTAAGATTTTTATATATTTTTAATAATTTTCTCTTTAAAATTATTTATTTTTATTGAAAAATAATTTATTTACTTGATTTTTTTACTTTTATTACACATCTATTCAAAATTCCTTTAAAAATCTATTAAATGTTTGTTTTAGTGCTTTTATTTTCTTTTATCTACTAAATCTAATACAATTGGCAACTCTCTCTTATTGTAATTGTCAAACAAAATCCACCATTTGCATTAATTCACCTCATAAGAAAACATTTATATAATAGCCCTTGCAACAGAGTGAACTGATAGCTTTTAAAGTCTATTAGCTGTCGGACAAATATAAGCCGAAATAGCTCAGTTGGGAGAGCGTTAGACTGAAGATCTAAAGGTCCCCGGTTCAATCCCGGGTTTCGGCATAAGATTTACTTTTTTTAATAATTTCCTTTTAATTTTTTATTGATTTCTTATAATTCGCAGCAGTTTTGTGTCTAACTTTTTATGAACCGATTTTGCTGATTTTTGGTAGAAATGTGGTCAAGACTTTCTGCTACTTTTATTTACTTTAAACAAGTTTAAAGGTTATATTAGGACCAAGTAATTAGGCCTTGAAATCTCAAAAGAAACCCCTCTTATCTTTCTATACACTGTTTGTTATCTTTTGCTGGACTGAAAAAATCTTAAGTATTATTCCTAGTTTGGTTTCCAACCCGCTTACTCTGGTTGTTATTCTGCATACGAACTCTCATGTGCCGAAATAGCTCAGTTGGGAGAGCGTTAGACTGAAGATCTAAAGGTCCCCGGTTCAATCCCGGGTTTCGGCAGTACTCTTCACTTTTTTGTTTACTTTTTTTAAGGAATTTCGAATAAAACAACAATAGTCAACTCCCGGTATAATTGATGATATAATGTCAGATCCTTTCCAAGGCGTTTTCTACTCTTGGTCAAGGTTTTTAAACTAGATCTTAAAAGTGAGCGTGTTACTGATTCTACAATGGACCCAGGGACTAAGGTGCTTATAGAGGCCACACTGCCAGAGCAATTTACCATTTTTAGTTCTTGGTTCTTTAAAGTCTGGATTATTTTTTCGTTGTGGCTAATGATGGTGAGACAGCATCTAACTAACATCATGGTGTGATCACCACAGGATTTTTAAACATACAATAGATGTATACTTAAGATAATAACAACAATCTGAAATAAAGATATAAATAAACAAAATTTATAAGTCTTTTATTCAGTTTAAGATCTGAAACAATTCCAATTCACTTTTAGATCAATTCTCTTCACTTCTAGGTCAGTTTTAGTTCTATTATGGTTCCAAATTCACATCAAGAGGTTCTTGTCTTGGCTAGCAATGTTTTTCAATAGTCAAGGCAAGAACCGCAAAATGTAGAGGAAATTTTGGAGGATTTTGAGATGATATTATAATTTTGTAGTAAAATCGGTCTGAAATTTTGTTAGGAAATTTTTTATGAAATATTGGTCTCAGATCTACTATGAGATCATTTTCGGATTCATCTTAAGTACTAATCTTGACAGTCAAATTTTTGCAGCTCTATGCCTCAAGACCCCGATATAATACCACAAATAGCTTGAAATAAAAAAATTTCGGGAATTTTGATGAAATATTGGTCCCAGGTCCAATCTGAGTCGATTTTTGGATTCAGAATGGGATTTTACCAGAAAGGTGAGTTTCCAGCCAGATTCGCCCAGTAGTTTCCGAGTTTAAAGCAAAATTAAAAAAAAAAAAATCCGAAATTTGATGAATGTTGGACCTGGGACCCATATTATGACAAAATTTCAAATTTATTTTTTGTTTGCTTCAAACTCGAAAACTACTCGGCGAATCTGGCTGGAAACTCACCTTTCTGGTAATTTCCCATGCTGAATCCGAAAATGAACTCAGAATGGACCTAGGTCCATTGTTTCATCAAAATTTCCGAAATTTTTTTATTTTGAACAATTTGTGCTGTTAATTCGGGATCTTAAGGCCGAGGGCAAATGAAATTTATACAAATTGGCTCCGAATCGCTTTCTGAGTGGATTAAGCTATGCTTCTTTGCCTCTCTGTCTGTCCATGTAAGCACTGTCTGCACTCTACAGCAATTTATTAGATAATTTGCTGAAATTTCCCATACAACCGGACCTTCCGTTTTGGACCTTTCAGCTCATAACTTTATAATATATATACCACTATCTTCCTAAACTAACGGCACAACTAACTTTTAAAAAGTATAAAAACAACATTTCATTAATATTTTATTAATTTATTTTTATTTTATATTAACGTTTAATATAAATAAATAATTCAAACTTATTAACTAAAGCCAACACCTTGTTTTAATATTTCAGCTTTATAAGCTTAATTCTCTTTAAAGTTATTATTATTTAATTAAAAATTTCTTTTTAATTAAAATTTTAATTAATAATTTTCTTCTTTTTTTTGAGAAAATTTAATAAAATATTTGGTTTTTCTAAACAGTAAAAGACAATTGTAACTTAAATTAACTTAAATTGTAAACAATAATCTTTAAAACCCTTAAAGGTTAAAAAAATTAAAATTTTTGCAATAAATTATATAAACACCAGCTAGAATGATAACAAAATAGTCTGGAATAGGAATTTTTCTTCAAAATTTCCAAATTTTTAACAATTTTATAACAAAACAGTTAAATGTTCCTTTAAATATAGTTTTAAGCGTTTTTTTTTTTCTCCATGTAAACAATTGGCAGCTTTGTTTTTTAGCCGTTGTGTTTATACAACTGTCATTAAGAAAAGAGTGTTGCCAGTAGGTTTAACATGTGTTTGTTAAGGTGAAATGATAACACAAGGGTAAATTAAGGAAATTTTAAACAATTTTAAGAATTTATAAGAAATTTTGAATAGATTTTGCAGTTTTTTATTAAAAAATAATTTAATAATTAATAATAATTATTAAAAAGAGAAAATGAGTTTGTTTTAAGTTAGGTTTTTATTAAAATAAATGTGTTAAAGGGAGTTGTAACATATTGGTTGTGACTGGATGTTCTTCCCTGGGAAAAAAACTTCCGGTTGACACAGCTGTTGCAAAGTTAACAATCTTTGGCCGATTGAGAATCGGGTCGTTACGGAGAGAAGATCCAATTGTCGTGGGAAAGATTAGTGAAGGGAGTTAAGTCTAGTGCTTAGTTTTATTTTAAAAATCTTCTAATTTTTAATAAATTAAAACTTTTTGTGTTTTAAACTTTTGTTTTGAAAGTTATGGAAACTGTCTAAAAAGTTTAGAGTGAAAATTGTTCTAGTTTGTAACAAATTCAACCTTTTATTGTTTAAAACTCTAAACGCAAAGGATTTAGTGTAACTGCTCTTGATTTTGTGTAAAAATTTTGTGTTCTTTTATAAATTTATAAATATTAATTAAAATTTATGTTTACAACTGTATTGTTTATATATTTGTTGATAATGTTTATTATTTTTGTTTTTAATCTCTTAATAAATACTTGAAACTTATATTTAAATAGCAAATTTTTTTTAAATTTCAAACTTAATTTAAATGTTTTGAAAGAAAATTGAAATACATTTTACTAAATAAAACGTTAAGAAGTTTTTAAAACTTAATTGATAAAATGTTTTCAAAATTCTTTCAGTTTTGTTTTAAAGAAAATCAAAAATTAAAATGAGTAAAAATAAAAATTAAAGTTAAAACTAAAATATTAAATGAGTATATAGAAAAATCAGTCTTAAAAACATACAAAAGAAGTTTTTTTTTGCGGGGAGGTTAAAGAAAACCATATAAAAAAGTTACTTTTCTTTAAAATTAGAAATTCTTAAATAAAATTTAGAAATGTGTTGATAAAACCTAGAAATTTTTAATTAAAATTGAACATTTTTAATAAAATTTATATTTTTTTAAGAAAATTTAAATTTTTTTTTAACAAAATTTAAATTTTTTTAATAAAAATTTGAAATTTTTTAATAAAAATTGAAAATTTTTAAATAAAAATTAAAATTTTTAAATAAAAATTAAAATTTTAAACAAAAATTTTATTTAATTTGTAACAAATCTTAATTTCTTTAATTTTCATTAAAAATTTCCTAAATTATTGCATTTTATAAGAAAAGTAACTTATTGCGGGATTCTTAAGAAAAATCGTTATTAATTTCGTTAAACGTTTTAAATTAAACTTAAATTTACTTAAAATTAATAAACCCTACCATAGGGCAAAGTATTGGGATAATAGGGTATTAAAAATTTACTGCCAAAACGTGCAGCCGACTGGGCCGATTCACTGCTGTAAAAAAAAAAACAAAAATTATGAATATTTACTATAAATAATATTATTTTGTATGCTACCTTGAAGAAAACATAGAATTGCACACCTCCGCCCGATGCAAGCGGGCACTATTGGTGGAAATAGTGCCACAACTATGCTGTCCACTAGAAGAAGTTCTTCGTCGCGATCTTATTAAAGAAGTAACAGCCACTATAACAGCCACCAGAAATATTAAACCCAATATACAAAATGATAAAGCCAATTTGGAAACCGATAAACATAAAGTGCCATCATTTACCAGGGGACGCACATAAGGGGGATATTCTTCCACTAATTAATACAAAATATTACAAAATTTTTTAATTATTTTTATTAAATTACCACTATTTTCACATTACCTGTCATATTATGACGTCGATCGTAACGTAAACGATCTACTTCAATTTGTGGCGCCGTCACTGCTAGGGAATTAAACACTTCAATACGTGCCAAGTGTTTTTCAGAGCTTAACACTAGTTTTTCACTAGAGCGGCAATTTATCTGGAAGTAATTTTAAAAAAATGATAATAATTAAATAAAAAAAAACAATATTTTAAGCGGTTTTTAAGGCAAAAAACAAAAACACACAAATATCTGCAAAAAAGGTAAACAAAACAATCTGTTAGAAATGACTTGAGAATGAAACATTAATACGGCATCCTTCTTAATAGAAAAGATAAATAAACAGAAATAGAATGAATTGAGAAAGAATCTCTCTAATTTCTAATTAAGAAGATAAATAATACTTAAAGAAACACACTAACTTGTGTTTTATAGTTAAAAGGTAAATAAAAATGAAAAAACAAACAGACTTCCTCCCATATAAAATATAAACAACAAAGACTTAAGACACAAACTTACTTTTTACAGTACAAAGGTAAATAAAATTGAAGGAAGAACGAATGACTTTTAACAGAAAAATGTAAACAACAAAGACTTAAGACACAAACTTATGTTAAAATGTAAATAATATTGAAGGAAAAAGACAAACTGCCAATTAATCAATTAATGTAAACAACAAAGATTTAAGACACAAACTTGTGTTTTGTAGCAAAAATAGAGAGATCGGAATATGAAAATGGAAAAAGTCACTTTAACACGGACTTTTGATAGTAAAAAGGTATTTTAAAAGATTAAGGAAGAAGTACACTTCGAAAATTTTGTATAGGAAAAGTGTTATACACAAAATTTCTATAGAAAACTGTAATAAAAATAAGTTTTTATATAAAATCAGTTGTACAGGGTGTTGTTTTTAAGAAAAGTGTTATACAGGAAGTTTCTTTTGAAAAATATGTTATACAGAAGGTGTTCTATAGAAAGAGAAAAACAGTTATACTGATAAATTTATATTAAAAAAAACTGTTATAATGAAAATATTCTATAGAAAAAGCTGTTATACTATAACTTTTTATGCAAAATTATGTTATACAGAATATTTTCCTTAAAATAATTGTTATATTGTTAATTTTATACAAAACTGATAATTTTCTATAGAAAAAAACTGTTATATAAAAATTTTTCTTTAGGAAAAGTGTTATACCGATCATTTTTTATAGAAAAAACTGTTATACAGGAAAATTCCTTTAGAAAAAACTGTTATACTGATAATATTTTATAAAAAAAATGTTATACAGAAAATATTCTTTATAAAAAACAGTTATACAGAAAATTTTCTATAGAAAAATTGTTATATAGAAAAATTTCTTTAGAAAAACTGTTATAAAGAAAATTTTGTTATAGAAAAAACTGTTATACAGGAAAATTTCTTTAGAAAAACTGTTATTCTGATAATATTTTATAGAATAACAGTTATACAGAAAATGTTCTTTAGAGACAATTTTATGATAATTTTATACAGAATTAACTGTTATACTGATAATTTTGTATATAGAAAAAACTGTTATACAGGAAAATTTCTTTAGAAAATCTATTATATTGTAATTTTCCATAAAAAAAACTGTTATACTGATAATATTTTTTTTGAAAAAAACTGTTATACTGATAATTTTCCATAAAAAACTGTTATACTGATAATATTTTATAGAATAACTGTTATACAGAAAAATTTTCAATAGATAAACTGTTATATTGATAATTTTATACAGGATCAACTGTTATACTGATAATTTTCTTTAGAAAGTCTGTTATACAGATATTTTTTTTAGAAAAAACTGTTATACAAGAAAATTTCTTTAGAAAAACTGTTATACTGATAACTTTCCACAAAAAACTGTTACACTGATAATATTTTATAGAAAAACTGTCATACAGAAAATTTTTCTTTAGAGAAACTGTTATATTGATAATTTTATACAAAATTAACTGTTATACTGATAATTTTCTATAAAAAAACTGATATACAGGAAATATCTTTAGAAAAACTGTTATACATACTAATAATTTTTTGTAGAAAAACTGTTATATAGAAAATTTTCTTTAGAAAAACTGTTATACAGAAAAATTTATTTAGAAAAACTGTTATACTGATAATATTTTATAGCATAACCGTTATACAGAAAATTTTCTTTATAGAAACTGTTATATTGATAATTTTATACAGAATTAACTGTTATACTGATATTCTATATAGAAAAAACTGTTGTACAGGAAAATTTCTTTATAAAATCTGTTATATTGATAATTTTCCATAAAAAACTGTTATACAGAAATTTTCTTTAGAAAAACTGTTATACTAATAATTTTCTATAGAAAAACTGTTATAAAGATAATTTTTTTATAGGAAAAACTATTATACAGGAAAATTTCTTTAGAAAAATTGTTATACTAATAATTTTAATTAAAAAAATGTTATACTGATAATATATTATAGAAAAACTGTTATACAGAACATTTTTCATTAGAGAAACTGTTATGTTGATAATTTTATACAAAATTATCTGTTATACTGACAATTTTCTATAGAAAAAACTGTTATACAGGAAAATTTCTTTAGAAAATTTGTTAAAAAAAAATTTGTTTAGAAAAACTGTTATAAGTATAATTTTAATAGAACAAACTGTTATACAGAAAAATTTCTTTAGAAAAAAACTGTTATACAGAAAATTTTCTTTAAAAAAATGTTATATTGTACATTTTCTTTAGAAAAAAGTGACATTTTTTTGAAAAAACTGTTATATAGAGAGTTTTCTAACGGAAAACACATACAGTTTTTCTATATAAAAAACTAATTTCTTTAGAAAAACTCTTATATGTTGTTACATCTTTTTTTCTACTTTTAACGCATTTTTTTTTTAATTTAATTTTTAGTTTAGCTAATTCATCAAATTAATGCTTCAGTTAATTTTAGAGCATTAACTTCATGATTATTTTATTTGCCCAAAATAAATGTGTTTTATTTCTTTTAGACTAATTAACGCTTTGTTGATTTCTATGAACAAAAAAGAAGAAACACTTGCAATTTCATTTATTTCGAATCGATTACAAAATACAAATGTTTACATTAAAATTACGTGTGTAGTAAAGCAACTTCTTTTACGTTGTTTTTTTGTTGCAAACAACATGATAATGCATTTTTTTATGCAAACAATTGCAAATTTCTTATTAATTTATGTTGTATTTACATTAAGTTGTGCACATGTATTATGTACTTACATTTGGACAATGTCCTTTACATAATTGCACCCCACAGCTGACATGCAAACGTTCACGATCGGGAAACTTAAAGGCAGGAAAGGTGGCGGTATAGGTTTTCTCTATTAAATCATCTTCATTGTGTTTAGACCAACCCTCTTCTAAAGGTTTGGAATGGGTGTGTAAGGCGGGCATGACCTGCAAAAAAAATAGATAAAAATAAATTAAAAGCTCTAAAAAACCTCAAGCTGTATTTTTATGTGAATTTTCTATAATTTTTTTAAAAAAATCCTTATTAATTTTGTATTTATTTAATAATTTCTATTAAATTTTTCCATTTTTAGTTCAAATTCTCAAAAAATACCTCTAAAACAGAACAAGACTTAAGAAACAAACTTTAATGTGGGTGGCATTCTCTTTCTATCGTTAGTAAAAGGAAAACAACAACAAACGACTTAAGGCACAAGCATAGAGTTGAGACTTAACGTTAGATTATAAAAAAGTAAACAAAAAAGACTTAAGACATAAACTTTAGCAAACAATGAAACGTTATGAAAAAGAAACATTATTAAGATGTGTTGTTGTTTGATAGAAAAGGTAAACAGAAAAGACTTAAGACATAAACTTTACATATAGAATTTTTTTGTATACGTTAATTTTGAAACTGAGTTAAACTAATTAAAGTAAAAGTTTTTAAATGGAAATATACAAAAACTGTTATACAGAAAATGTATAGAGGAATTATTTTATAAAAAAATACTGTTATACAGAAAATTTTATTTAGAGAATCCAATATACAGAACATGTTCTTAAGAAAAACTTTTATATATACAAAAATTCTTCAGAAAAACTATTATACTGATAAATTTCCATAGAAGAGAACTGTTATACTGAACATTTTTGTTAGAAAAAACTGTTAAACAGAAAATTTTCTTTAGAAAAAACTGTTATACTGAACATTTTCTTTAGAAAAAAACTTTCATACTGTTTTTTTTTAAGAAAACTGTTATACAAAAAAATATCTATAGAAAAAACTGTTATACTTGTAATTTTCTATAGAAAAACAGATCATTTTTTATAGAAAGACTTATACAAACAATTCTCTATAAAAAATACTGTTATACTGGCAATTTTCTACAGAAAAAAACTGTTATACTTAAAATTTTCTTCGGAAAAAACTGTTATTTTGAAAACATTTCTTTAAAAAACTGTTATACTTAGAATCTTCTATAGAAAAAAACTGCTATACAGAACATTTTCTTTAGAAAAACTGTTATACGGAAAAATCTTCCTAAAAAAACCGTTATAAAACAATTTTCTATGCTTTTTCTATAAAAAAAAATATGTTATACAGGAAATTTTCTCTAGAATAACTGTTATACTTAATGTTATACTGAAAGTTGTTTAAGAAAAATGTATTTTCTATAGAAAAAAACTGTTATACTGACAATGTTTTATAGAAAAAAACTGTTATAATAAAAATTTTATTAAAAAAAAGTATTATACAAACTGTTATACAGTTAAAAAAACTGTCATACAGAAAATTTCTTTAAAAAATTTTTATACAAACTGTTATACTTTAAATTTTTTATATAAAAAACTGTTATACTTATAATTCTCTATAGAAAAACAGTTATACAGACAATTTTATTAGAAAAACTTTTATACAAACTGTTATATAGACAATTTTCAATGGAAAAAACTGTTATAAAGAAAAAATTTTTATACAAATTTTTTTTATAGAAAAAACCGTTATACAGGCATTTAGTTGCAGAAAAACTGTTATACAGACATTCTTTGTAGAAGAAAACTATTATACTGATAATTTTCTGTATAAACTGTTATACTACAATTTTTTTAGAAAAACTGTTATATACAAAATTTTTATAGAAAAAAACGTTTACATATATAAATTTTTATACAGAAAAAACTGTTATAATGCAATTTGTTTAAGAAAAACTGTATTTTCTATAAAAAAATCTGTTATACTGACAATGTTCTATAGAAAACACCCTGTTATACAAAAAATTTCATTAGAAAAAGTATTATACAAACTGTTATACAAACAATTTTCTATAGAAAATATCTAAAACAGAAAAAATTTTTTATAAAAAAGTTTTATACTTATAATTTTCTATAGAAAAACTGTTATATAAACAATTTTCTATAGAAAAAATTGTTATACCGAAAATTTTCATTAGAAAAACTGTTATACAAACTGTTATATTTATAATTTTTTATAGAAAAAAACTGACAATTTCTATAGAAAAACATTTCTGTAAAAAAAATCTTATAAAGAAAATTTCTTTAAACAAATTGTTGTACAAAGTGTTATACATAATTTTTTTTTTGTATAAAAACTGTTATACTTATAATTTTCTATAGAAAAACTGTTATACAGAAACATTTTTATTATAACAACCGTTATACAAGCTGTTATATAGACAATTTCTATAGAAAAAACTGCTATACAGAAAATTTTCATCAAAAAAACTGTTATACAAACTGTTATACTTATAATTTTTTATAAAAAAACTGTCAGTTTTTTCTAAAAAAATTATAAGTACGTATGTATAGTACTTATAATTTTTTTAGAAAAAACTGACATTTCTATAGAAAAAAAATTCTTATACAAACTGTTATACATAACATTTTTATATAAAAAACTGTTATACTTATAATTCTCAATAGAAAAACTGTTATACAGAAACATTTTTATTAGAAAAACTGTTATACAAGCTGTTATATAGACAATTTCTATAGAAAAAACTGTTATACAGAAAATTTTCATTAAAAAAACTGTTATACAAACTGTTATATTTACAATTTTTTATAAAAAAACTGTTATACTTCTAATTTTTTATAGAAAAAAACTGTTATACCGACAATTTTCTATAGAAAAAAACTCTTATACTGAAAATTTCATTAGATAAACTGTTATACAAACTTTTATACAGATAAATCTCTATAGAAAAACTGTTATACAGAAAATTTTCATTAGGAAAACTGTTATACAAACTGTTATACTTATAATATTTTATAGAAAAAACATTTGTACACACAATTTTCTTTAGAAAAACTTTTATACTAATAACTTATTATAGAACAAAACTGTTATACTGAAAATTTTTTAGGTTTTTCTAATTAAATAAAGTAATTTTAATTTACAATTATTAACTTGTTAATAATTTATGTTATTTTCATACATATTTCTAATTAACAACTTCCGTTTTATCTTATAATTTTATACCTTATTTGTCAAACATTTAATAACTATTCATAGTTATGACGGAAATATGTTTATAGAGTTAAATGTTTTATTATTAGTAGTATTTTTTT